ATTCATTTCTATGAATTTGAAATGAGCTTAAATTCACTCAATTTAAAATAAATTAATGATAGTGCACTGCCTAAATTTCGGTGGTCACACCTATATTTGACTTCTGTACGACTCTTTTTACACTAACTGGCATTGCTATCTAAACGCTTAGAGTCTGTATCTATGTGACTTAGTAGACTACTACTATCTTGTTCTTGAAAAGTGATGAATCCTATAGGCCAGTGCTTATTTTAAAGCCTAATTTAGAAAAGTGGTTATGCTTATCCCAGTAACTATATATTTATGTTGTCATATATACAGCATTTCCATGTTTGAATTTCCAAATAAAATAATTTCAATATTAAAGCTAACTCTTTTTGCAAAACTGATTTTTTTTTCTATTTAGGACAGGGTGTACAGGGTCTCACTGCATAAATCAGACTTGTAGGGATCCTTCTGTTTACAGCCTCCCAAATGCTGGGATTACAGGCGCACGCCACCACACCTAGTCTCAATGGCTGTCTCTGTGCACTCCCGGGGCAGGGCCGGCAGGGAAATCCAGGGGATCGAACTCCTGGTGCCTGCATCTGCCTAAGCAGGCACTTCAGTTTGCTGAGCTATTTGGCTGGCCCCACAAACCTGCTTTATAAAAATAACAATTGTTACACCACGTATTATTTCACTGACTTTTGAAATTAATTAATTTATAAAGAAATCCATTGTATTTTTTGAGTAAAAAGAGAATTGAAGAGTTATGTTATATGAAAGCGCATAAGGGAAAAAACAGGAGAAAAAAATATATATATATATATACTTTACCTAAATATTACCAACTACTTTAAAATAATTTTAAAAACACAAACCTGACTAACACTTGGAGAGGAACAACTACAGAATCCACTTCGTGCAACTTACAATATAGCCAAGGATAACAGCACGGAAGAATTTATGATTCACGATGTACACAGAGAATGTATGATGCTTTTAATCTACTAAAATAGCTTTTTTCTGACAAGGCAATGAGTCATGACTAACAGCAGCCATCATGCCAACCCAAATGCACGTTGATACTGTTAACGTCACCAAAATGATGTCACCCTAATATATTAATACATGACTAGTGCTGGCATTTCAAGGTTAAAAGGTGGATGTAAACAAGCAAAACTGAACAAAGGATTTGCGTAACGCATCGTAGTATGCTTTTGAGAGACATTTTAGTAAGGTAAAAATGTTTTACTGCTAGTATAGAAACAAAACTAGAATATTGGAAAGGAAAAACAATATTTGCAACTGGAGAAAGAGAAAATAGTAAGAATATCTTTCTTTTGGTGAAAGCATGAGAGGTACAGCTAACTATTTGCAAAACACAGTATCTGTACACAGGATAAGAATTTTGTTTTCATGTGCTGTCGCAGGTACTAGGAAAATTCTTGCACCATTCAGTGTATTCCACCTTGAAAGCAAGTTGCTCCTTGGGATTAAAAATTTCTCTTCCTAAAATGCAAGTGTTCAGCCAATTGCAATGGCAAACTGTCACACTCAAATAGCTTCAGGTTTGCCAAATCCTATAGGTCTCCTTGCGTTAGCAAATCTGAAACAAAATGTCAAATGTAGAAAACGTTCATCCTTTTGTCTTTCAATTTTTCTTTAAACACAAGTTGAGATATTCTATTATTTGTAACAGGCTAAAAGATTCTGGGAAGTTTATTTGTACATTATAGCCCCCAAAGCAGTGAAGATTATATATACAATTAAGATATCATTTACGTTATTTTATTCTCATTTCTAGTAGTTCACTGGAAGTTTCCCTCTCATTAATTTTATCTTGATGAAATTAATGATTATCCTGTTTGGCTTCATATTTCATAATCTAATTTCTAACCCACAATAACATTTAACCTCCAACAGAAAGCTCAGTCCAAAAGCTTCTGTATTCTCATCTCATCAATGATGTCTTTGCATATAACATATGCAGAGTATCAATTTTTCTCTTACAATTCAAAATTTGTTTAATGGCTGAAATCAATTTATTCAGATTTTGCTGCTTTTCATTATATGGCTAGGATATATGATAGCAAAAGACAAAAAGGTTGATAGCTCCCAGAAGACCAAATGAAAATAGCATAAAGCCATCATAAAAAATTAAGGTAAAATAAAGACATTAAGCCTTTACAAGTTTGGACACAGGGAAGACTTGGGTAGCTTTGGGAATTTTGGAGATGCTTTGCTTGGAATGTAGGAAAGAAAAAAATACATCACCATAGACACAAGCATTTTAAAGTTAATCATAAACTCAGAAGGTGTAAATACAGCTAGGAGAATTTACTTTTGCAATTATTTATGAATCTATATGTAAGATAGACCTATAAAATGAATACATGGTGCTGGCCCTGCCTCTGGGGCACGCTGAGAAGGCGACTGAAACTAGGCAAGGTGGGCGCACCTGTAATCCCAGCTCTTGGAAGGCTGTAAACAAGCGGATCACTATGAGTCCAATCTAGTAGTGAGACCCTGAACACCCTGTAGACCCATCCCTAAAAATACTAAAAAAAAGTTTTTTAAAAAATAATAAAATTAATACGATGTAATATATGCCAGATGATCAACGAATACTGTATTTTCCCAAGCAACTTCTGCATTGCTCAAAACTATCTGGCAGGTGTATCGCTGGTTATAGCATGTGGCTTCATTCATGAGGGTGAGGCCTGGAGGTAAGAGACACAAGGGCCTCCAGCAAGGCTGCTGGGCAGCATCTAACACAGCAGAGAGACAACTCTGCTTTTCAGCTTTCACTTTTCAAACTGCATTGACGATATTTAACTTTTCATTTCTTGTATAAATGAGAAAATGTGGGTCACAAATATCTTATTTGGAAAGAAAAGTTTTATTGAAAAATAATTACTTTTGTGACTATGGCTTTGAAAATGCCTAACTCAAACTTCATGTAAGTATTTTTGGGGTCCATTAATCTACTAAAATGATACCATTCCTGGTCTATCATCTATGCAGGTATTGGCCTACTCCAGGCTCAAGCTGACTGCTTCCTGAAGGTTTGTGGGCACCGATCTCAGCCACAATAATTTGCTCAACATCATTATCCCAATATAATGAAATATGCATATGTTATGGTATAAGGTCAGGGAACACGTTACTTTGGTAAATTGTGACACTTTTCTCCTAAAATTATTAGTAGAATTTTCAGTACTTATGCTCTGTAGCTCTGAGATTTGCGTACCTACTTGAGTATTACTGCAATGAATATTAACTTACACTATTGATACAGCAGAAAAAAATCCCAAAGTGAACAGCAAAATAAATACTGCTTAATAATTAACATAATCCTACAACATTTGCTGTCAAAAATATTGTTCAGTGTTTTTATTAACCTTATTTTCTATTGCCAAGCATCAGCAAAACAGCTGATGTAAATTTAAGACATTTCTTTAAATATGTTTTTAGAAAACCATAAAATATTGTAATTTTTCCACACTGGACCCTATTTAAAGTTATAACTTTAAAAATTAAAATGACTTCCCATGGATACAGTTGAAAGAAAAACATGTTACAAAAGTAATTTATCAATATAAAATAATTTATAGACATCATTCTTTCTAAATGAGAGATCATTAATCTTTGATGGTGACATTATAAACAAAATTACTTTGTTTATCTATCTAAATTCTGTTTATCATCTTCTTGAATTGTTAATCAAAGAATCTAATTTCTCTGGGCTCCAAAGAACTACTGCTTTGAGCTTTTATTTTTTCATCATTCTATTTAATTGTAATCCTGTAATTTAATTTAATGTAATGCAAATACTTCCTGTATTATGGCAATACAAAATTTCTTGAAACAGTAACCCATTAAAATATATTAAAAGTATTTATCATGATTCTCACGAGTACCAATAATACAAAAAAGAGAAACCTGGGATATGTAATTGGTAGAAATAATTCACAATAATGACTTTCCATTTGTCTTGATGCAAACAGCCAGAACAACCCCCATTAAAACAACTTGAGTAAAATGCAAACTCATGTTTATAAAACAAAGCATTAAGTTTAATCTTTTTCAATCAATATCTAAAATTTAAAAGTAAATCATTCAAATGGATTGAAGTTTTTCAAAATTTTCCAATGCCTGATGTGTAAATCTAATAAACTAAAATTTGTTTTATTTACTTATTATATGTATTTGTTTTTATGTTACTAAGGATTAAACCCAGGGCCTTTGCACTGAACTACAATCTCTGTCCTTTTTATTTTTTTTAAGACAGGTTCTTGGTAAGCTGCAGGGTTCAAATCTGCAAGACCTCTGCCTAAGTCTCCGATAGTGCAGACTCAGCTGATATTTAATTTGAATCACAGATAAATGAATTTTCTACCAAAGGAGGAAGACTAGAAATATCACTTAGTTCTCCTAAATACACTGTTCTAATGGCGATCTACATTTTTTTTGTCTTAGAACATCAATTTTCAATTTTGCATTTTATTTCAATCACTATTCCTAAAATTAAATATTATTACCTATTTACTAGGCTCCTTTGCCTAACTTTTAAGATTGTACAAAGGTAATTTAAAAGATACTGTTTCCCTACTGATGTGAGCAGTACCTTATTATTGCCATTATTTTATTTACAAATAACTGTATTATCTTTTTCATATTAAAACCTGTCCTATATGTCTACAATTTGAAAAGTCTGTATCTTTCTTTAATATGTAATACTTAAGGTTAGAAAACCTAAAAATTCAATGCCATTCTCATATATATGAACTAATGATAATATTTTAACTTCAGTATTTACTAGGTTAGCATTGGTTTGCGCACAATAATTTTTTCTTTTAGTATAAGGATCCAAAGTAGGTGAAGGCATGGTGACTGAATCCTATTTACTTGGCATTTTTCACTTTGTATTATGGTCCTAGAACTCTTCATTTTCTCAGAACTTTTTTCTTGCTGTAGACACCAAGATATCCTTATTCCCAGAGTTGTAATATTGTGGCTTTCACTTATTATATTACTTGTTCAACATGTTTCTCTTGTTTTTTTTTTCTAGATAATTTTAATCATATCTGAGGTATTTATTGATAAAAATAAGATTAAATTTTAGCAAATATTTTCTGCACAGAACTTCATCCTTCTGTCATCAGATTACGTGAGCTGTCATAATTCATCGAAGTTGCCCTCACTGATGCTCTAATTTTCCTGTTAGAACAGAAAGATCTGTTCCATGAGGCCCTCTCAGATCTTTGGAAGATTTGGCAGCTTCTGTAAGGAGAATGTGTCAAGGAACAGTATCATTAGAAAGTTCATGAAATCATAGGGAATTGCAACCTTTTAGCGTCAACTGTATGCAGTATTTAAAATTAACTAAAAAGTAAAAATCTAAAAGTATGTAAAACGTGTGAAAATATGTGTGCGCATTATATGTGGGTATGCACATAACCCGCCCCCAGAGGCTTTGTCTTGTTTTTGTTTTCTAGCACAAGTTCCCAAAACCCTTATGGATATTTAAGCGCTTAGGGAAACAAAGGGGAGCATCTCTCATGTTCATAACAAGTCCTTCTTCTCACACCTGACTTACTGAGGTGAGCTGGAGGGCTCCAGGGAGGAAGGCTGTGATTTGAAGGTTTTGACTTTGACAGCTATTCCTTTATCCTACAGGGACGGATGGGGCAAGAGCTTAATACTGATTTAATCAATGGAGAAAGGCCTAATAAATCATGCCTGTGTGGTGAAGCCTCCAGAAAAACCATGCAGGATGAAATGTGAGGAACTTCCAGGGGGAGACACATGGAGGGACCGGAGGTGCCAGGAGCGAAGTCACATGGGTGTCTCAATACCTCGTGCTGTGCGTGTTCTCCTGCGTTCCTGAGTTACACCTCATTACAGCAAGCACAGTCATTGTCTGACTCTTTTCATTGCTAGGACAATATAACCGATACCTGAAGTTAAAGGAGGAAAAGTTTATTTGGCTCACAGTATGTAGAGGTTTCAGTACATAATGGGCTGATTCCCAAGACAGGGGACTTCACAGAAGAGAACAATTCAAGGTGGGTAGAAGACAACAAAAGTAACAGGAGAGAGTAAGAGAGGCCTCTTTCTGTCCCTTGTATTGTACCCAGTCCACAGGGATGGGGGCAGTGGCAGTCTACTCAGTACACTGATCCAACAATCACCCACCCTTAATCCCCAGCACCCTTAATCCTAGCATTGCACTACAAATCTATCTCATACCCTAGATTCAGCCTCCTCTGGACAAAACAACCCTATGACATCATGAGGCTTTGGGGGGTACATCTAGACACAAACTGTAACAGTAACCTAGTAAGTAGTGTTTACCTGATTTCCATGAGCCACTGGAGCGAAGTATAGAAACTGAGAAGGTAGCTGTTAGAATGTATAGTTGAGAGAAATTATAGGTAACGTGGGGACACAACGTATCCAATATGGAGGGGCACCCTGCAGTGCTGGGCCAGTAAGCGGGACCTGTGGTGCTTGTGTGTTTAGCATGGGAACTGTCTAAACCACAGGGCAGCCAGCTCCTGATGGACAGCTGGGGGTGGGGAAGAAAACACATATTATGGTATCAGAACTATTAAGAGTAATACAGAAGAAAAACGACTAAAACAGGACTAAAGTGCCTGCTTACACAGGTACAGGGACCAGGGTTCGATCTCTGGCGTGCCATGCCAGCCCCAGTCCTGAGACATGCTGAGACAGCAACTGAGACTGGGTGTGGTGGCACATGCCTGTAATCCCAGCGCAATCTTTGGCAAAATCTTTCTTAAAGAAATTTCCAATTAGTATGGAAGAACATGAAAATTTAATTGCCCACACCTATAAAAATTCACAAGCCTCCTGCCTTACTGTATAAATGTGATGTCTTTAGATAAGATTGACAAGCGATAACATATATTTTGATATTTCCCCTTGTGTTATAAAGTTTCTTCCTCCAACCAAGAACTAGAATTTAGTTCAATTATTTGGGCAAGGAAAAACAATGGCATCATTTTCATTGGCTAGTAGATCAAACATCATATTATTAAACCAATGACGTAGACAAATTTTGAAAAATTACCTGTGGTTGTAAGGCTCGGGGGGACATCTAGACACAAACCATAATAGTAACCTAGTAAGTAGAGTGTCTGCCTGATTTCCATGAGCCACTGGAGCAAAGTAGAAAACTGAGAAGGTAGCTGCGAAAATTCATTTAAGTATTGGTAATAGTTCTTCCTATTTCAGAGATATTGCATAATAATTACATAAACATAATTTTGATTGCATGCAGCATGGTATCAAAATACAAAAAATTATGAGCAAAGTTCTAGCAACTGGTGTTATACACTATTAGGACTCTAGCAACAAAACTTATCTACCGACATTAGTTGACAAGGACTGTTGGACATACAGGAGAGAGGAAGCTTAGTTTCTGATGTGGATGATGTGTAGTCTTAAACAGAACTTCCAAAAACTTTTAGGGAATGCCCAATTTATCTAACACCCTTTTCATGAAACTGTTCCACCTAGTGTCAATAATTTAACTGGATAAAGTAAACCTAACATCTTATAATATCCAAGACATTCCTGAATAGGTAATATCATCAGAAAAAAGATGGCTAGGTTTAAGTATTAATTTTTAATTGCCACGCAGTGGGTCATGGAATATAAATATTCTCTAGATTAATTAAGCGTGTCTATCCTCCATTATATAAAATAGCGGAGTGGCTCATTTGCATTCAGTACAAGAACACAGCACAAAGGAGAAAAGATCAGAAATCTAAGCTGCAAGGATAAAACAGAAGCAAGAATGGCATATTAATAGCCTTTGTGGATTTTCATAATAAATCCATCTCCAAGATTTCCACAAGTAAGGCAATTATATGAGGCAAAATCTCATGGATTACAATGACAAAGAGAAATTTCTATTAATATTAGATATAGATACTAAGAAATAAAATTTGCAATCAGACAAAAAGATATTTTCAGAAATAATCCTTCTACCTTCTACTAGAGAAAATGGCTCCTTCCAGTCTCAACAAAAAGACACAACTTTGAGCTTAATGACAGAGTTTAATTTTGAAGTACAGAAAAAAATAGAAAGTAGAACTTTTTTTTTTGGTGGGGAGAGCCACAAGAGATTCACCAGAGCTGAGATATGGAAATCTGCTTTCATATCAGATGTGAGGGGATAGATGAAGCCTTCTAGAGCCACCCACCACTGTGGAGCAACAGGAATAAGCGCTCTCGCACCATCTGTGCGGAGTCTGACGCAATCCTTCAGTGAGTACTCCTTCAGCACACTATCATTCCCTAAAGTGACAACCCCAGAGGGTACAGTTCTTCAGAGAGGGTTAAATTTGTCTCTTGGTCATAGTGTTTGAAATGTCATGCTCATCACATAGAAATATTAGACACTCCATGAATCCATTTGATAGAACTACTTAAACTGACAGATGGCTTAATTGATCTAACAGATGCAGGCTATCAAGGGAATCAGTCACCAGTTTACTTGAGTTTTGACACGCGCGTGGAGGTCAGTGCTGTAAAAATATTCTCCCAAACTTCAATGTAGACATGAGTATTTGTGGAATGAGAAATGAGTAATGTTTCTTAGAAGAAGTAACAGATGTTACTATTGTCAAGAAAACCACAAACGAGAGTAAACATATGAGCAACAGAGTTAAGATCACTTTCCAACTTTCATCAGAATTCATACTCCAATGATAAACACAGTAATGGAAAAGATGATGTAGGTTTCTGTAGTGGTTGACACATTGTGTCAACTTGAGAAGTTAAAAACTAACTAAATGGGCTCAGCAATCCCACACCACAGGGCACGGAGGCCCCTCCCTAGGGCATAGAATCCCCACCCTAGAGTGACTCAGCACTTAGAGGATATAAAAAGGAACTGAGGAAGGATGGAGTGTTCCACTTTCTGGTGGCTCAGTCTTCAGTCATTGTGGCTAGCATCCCATGGCAGCAGAGGATGCCTGTGCAGCAGATGCTTTGGCCTCTGCCTTGGATCCTTCAGCCTTATGACTCATCAGCCTTCTGTAGCAGACCCATCAGCCTTCTCTTCTGTTGCAGACTCATTAGTCTTTCATCGCAGACCCATTAACCTTTCATCACAGACCTTGGACTGAATCCTTCAGTCTCTGGTGTGCAGACGCCTTCTGCACGCTTCCTCATCTGACTCTGTGGCTGACCTTTGTAAGCCAATCTTGTGACTCCTTAAACAGATGCACATCTTGTGTTATATTTGTTCCTCTGGTAAAACCCAGACTGATACAATGTCCTTGTGCTTTAGCTTTTGATGAGTATGTCCTAAATGCTCTATTGTGACAATATATGCTTACATAAAGACTTAAATCTTCACAGCAGCTTAATTCATAGTAGTCTTAAACTGTTAACAACTTGAATTACCACCAAAAGAAGAATGCACAAACAAAGCTTGGTACCCACACAGTGGAGCACCCCTGGGTGCCATGCAATGACAGGCAAGATCCCTGAGAGCACTGTTACCTAAAAGAATGCAGGAACAAGTCTTTCCCACATACTACGGAAGCCCATTGTAAAATTCCAGAACAAGTCTAAATAGCAGTTGAAAAAAGTAAGTATGACCTCCTTAGGGACCTGCAACAGAGAGAGGTCCAGGGAAAATTCTGGAGAAGAAAAAATTCTTTAGTGTGACTGTGGTGATGGAAACATTAGTATATACATGTGAAAGCTTAAAAGTGGTGGATTTCAGTAGGAGCTACACCTTAATAAAGAGATGCATGCATTGATGGTGTGTTCCTAATGATGTTGATACAACCAATGGTTAAAAATGCAACAAGGGGGCACTTTTGGATTAGAATTCAAACAACAATTTGTAGTAACATACAAAGAAATGTTCTACTAGATATATAGTTAAATATACTTTTGTTAGTTTCCTAACCTATAAAACCATATCATGATAATAAAATAAATGAGAAAAATCTCTCCTCTGAAGGAAACTCTACACTGCAGAAACATGAAGATTTCCCAGTT